TTGACGTCGCTACTACCGCCGCCGCCGTCCTTGCCGTCCTTGCCGTCCACCACCACCACCACTGCCGGTTCGGGCAGCTCGAGCCGGACCAGCTGCACCAGCTCGCCCTCGCGGCGGCGCTCGGCGGCGCACGTCAGGCCCCAGGGCTGCGGCACCGCGGCGGCCGGGACAAAGGTCAGCTCTGCCGCGGGCGGCGGGCGCGGCAGCGAGACGATGTCGGCCAGAAAGGCCTCGAGGTGCGGCAGCACGCGCTCGACCACGTCCAGGTCCGAGGCGGCCTGGCGCGTGGAGCGGGCGCGCTGCGACTCGCGCAGGCGCTCCGGCAGCGTCGAGAGGTGCGCGGCCAGGTGCGACGTGTAGAGCGACGGGTTGAGGGACCCGACGGGGCGGGTGGGCGAGAGGCCGGCGCCGGGGCTTTCGGAGTAGGGGGGTGGTGGGAGGTCGGACATTGCTCTTTTTTTTTCTGGGGGTTGGTGGTGGTGATGGTGTTGATGGTGTGAGGGGATTAGGGTGTGTAGTGTAGTTGTGATATGCTTCTTTCAGCCGCCCAGGGTATCCAAGTATTAGGAGCTACAGCTTGGTTTACTGTGGTGCCGTCGTCGTTCAATCCATCCGAGATTAATACGAGTCTGCAGGAGCTTGATTATGGCGGTCGTAAAGGGCTTTGTCGATCCCGCCTGGGATCAGGTGGCGAGAAAAAGACAGAGCAAATGAAAATGGTGCGGAAGGAAGGGTGGTGAGAAAGTGGACGTTGTATGATGGAGCGAGGACATGTGGTTGGCATGCCCGCCAAGCTGAAGGAGGGGGCTTAGCTCCTCGGTCTGGGGGAGAGGGGCTGAAAGCCTAACAGGGCACCCTCGTGTTTGCAGCAAAGGGCCCCCGCTGCGGCTCAAAGGGCACGCGCGCATGGCATGGCCCCAAAGTGATTCGGAGAATTCCGAGGGCGTTGGGGAGGAGAATGGGGTTTCCAAGGGTCTTGCCTGAAGGCTGGTGTGGGCTGTTGGCCTGCTTTTCGTGGGGGAAGAAATGGGGATGAGATTGGCGCAGACACCGACCGAGGAGATCATGGGACGTGCGTGACCGACGCCTGCGCCATGCAGTCAAGGGGCCTTTGATCATCAGGGAAGAGGGTTTTACACACGACCGGACGAATAGATTCCGCTCAGCCTGCTCATTCCTGACGTGGATTGCGCCATCATAAAAGGACGTGACTGCCATTTTCTATCACAAATCATGGAGCGTTGTTTTTGGTGGTGGTTGCAGAGTAGGTGATCCAGCAATTGGAACCGTCCCCATCCGTTCTACCATTGATATATTCAATTTTATCCAGTAAGATATAAACACATGGCCTGTCGCCAGAGCCCGCAGAGGTCAATTATATCGGATCGGATATCGGTTGCTGCTTTACCATGGAGGGAATCCCTTCGTTTGCAGGCAAATGACTGGTAGATGGTAGAACAACATTCCGTTAGCCAGGGATCGACCAAAATATCGGACCGGCGACGCGGCCGGTCCTCAAAAAGGAGAAGAAAACTGACAACACGAAAGGTAAAAAGTGAAGACCGAGCCGATATAGCATGCGCCTTTACAGCAGCCCCAATCGCGCTTGCACTCTCTAGCGTTTAGGGGGCCCTGTGTTTGACCCTTTGTTGGGGTAGGCGACAGGGCGCTGGAGGCTTTCGTGGGCGCCACGACATTCGTAGTCGGGACCAGCGAGGCGCTTCGACTGACAGCTACCGTTGGTGTCGCGGGCGAGATGGCGACGACCTGGGTGGTCGGGCTCACAATGGCCACCGGGCCTGTGTAGGAGGTGCCTAGGGTTGTTTGGAAAGTGTATGTGTCCGTGGATACCCGAGTTACGAGACTTGCCGGGCCTGTCGAAGTGCTGATTGGTTGTGGGAAGCCGCTGACGACGGCAGCCAAGGCCGCGAAGGTGAAGGAAAGTTTGGTGATGGGCATGGTGACGGTGGCTAGTTAACAGGACACTCTGGTTCAGATGGATGTGTCAGCCGAAGAGCGTCTCTGTGCCAAAGCTATATGCAGTCAGGCACGGGAGGGAGGATAGAAAGTTTTCCGTGGTGGTTTACAAAAAGTTCAGGCTTGCCTAACCGGCCCGTGGTGGCTGTGGTGGCAGACGGAGGCTGGAGTCACCAATAGGACACAGAAATGCAAATACCACAGCCAAGAGTGTACCTGGATAGCGCCGCGCTTTCTTCTGCCGTAGTGGGCCTTGTGCCATGAGATTATGAATGCCCAGTTTGACTTGCGCGCACTTGACGTCGAACTAAATGAACATCCGCGATGAGCATCGCCGGCACCAGACTTGGTGAGTAAAGGTAGTCTATGGGTATGTCTGAAATGCAACGCCGTTTATGGAACGCCTTGTCGACTGAAAAAACGCCCGAGATGGAGAAAAGGCCGTAGAAGATGAAGGGGTATGACAGGGCATTAATAGACCGTCTCAGGGTTTCGGGTAAGCAAAATCTGGGCGTCCTCCTCTGAAAACCGGAATACGTCAAACTTTCCATTGTCCAAGAGGAACTCCTGTCCCTCCTCGTCTCCCGAGAAAACATATTGCACCGCTGGGTTCCTTCGGTTTGGAGGCCCAACGCGAAGGATGCAGTCGCCAGTCATGTCCTCCCACGACTGCATGTTTTCGAACATGCGCGCTGCGCCTTTCGAGATGGTGCCGATGATGAGAAGGGCGTCTCGGTACTTGCGCAGGGGCTTGGGGAGGCGCTTGCCCGTCTTTGAGCGCCAGACAAGCTGCTTCCACTGAGGGGTGGGCCAGAACAGGCGCTGGAGCTCCGGCGCTTCCATGTTGTCGATGGTCTCCTTGGGCAGAGACACACAGATCATGACGACGGACTCGCAGTTGGCTCGGTGCTTCGCATAGGCCGCGTAGTACTCGGCCACCTTGTAGTCCGACGCGAAGTAGAGGAGCCCCCGTGTGGCGCTGAAGTCGGAGGGTTGCGAACTCAGGAGCGTGCTGATGTTATCGAGCACGCCGGCGTTGTCGAAGAGGCCGGCCATCCTGGCCTGGTCCATCCCCTTGTACAGCGTGATGCAGTCCGAGTTTTTGGCGTATTCGGCGGCGAGGTCGCGGCTCCAGTGCATGGAGGAAACGCCGGGTGTGGCCTCTTGTTGCATCTCGGAGGCAGAGGCCGCGCGCCGGCCTGAGGATGAGGAACTTCCTCCTGCCCCACGTCCCTGACCGCTGCCGCTGGGCCGAGCCGCCTGGCCTCGGCCACCTGGGCGTGAAGCGGCTCGGAGGAGCGCCCTCTCGCGGTCGCGAGATGCCCGCTGGATGTCCTCGAGTCCGGCGAAGCGCATTTGAATGGTGTCCTCGACCCAAAAGACACACGAGTTGGTGAGACGGATACGCTTGAAGCTCGGGTCCATGATGGCGTCCTGCACAGACGAGCTGATGCCGCATCGGCCGAGGCATTGGCGCCACTGGTCATCGTCGTCCTCGTAGACATCCTCGATGTTTTCGAGGCGGGCAGTGATGTAGTCGATGAATGTGATCTCAAGGCCACCATCGCCGGCGTCGATCTCTCGGCGAATTCCTGTGGATGGCCAGTTGGTCCACTCGGACCAGATCTCGTCGGCCTTGCTCTGCGATAGGCCGAGGTATGCCAGGGTTTCCCGTGAAAACAAGGCAACCGGGATGTCGGCGAAGGCGGCCGAGACGGCAAATGACTCCGGGCCGATGTCGAGAGGAATTTGGGCATACTCCTCGTCGCTTGAACTGTTGAGGCGGCGCTTGTGCAGACGGCGGAAGCCAGTGTGGCTTCCAGGGCGCAGCAAGCCTGCAGTCTGCAGGGCAGCAGCATCAGCGGCTGCGAGAACTAGGCTCTCGGTTGACATGGCGCTCGGTAAAGATAGAGTGGGAGATGGTAGAGGGAGGGTGGCGAAGTGGGAGGGTGCCGGCGTATTTATAGGCGCCCTGGGAAGCTGGTGGAGAAACGTGGGCAGGAAAATGTTGAGCTGGAAGGTTCGAGGCGGGAGTCACCAGATGGTTGAGCTGGAAGGTGCGAGGCGGGAGCCACCAAATTGTTGAGCTGGAAGGTGCGAGGCGGGAGCCACCAAATGGTAAGGTGTGAGGCGGGAGCCACCAGCTGGACGGTCATCACATCCACGGGGATCGAGACCAGGACGGCCAGCGCCTAGGCGCCCCCGACTTCCACATCCGCCGCCACGAAGGTTGTGACCGCGACCCCTTCGCCTAAGCCGCCAACGAGGAAGAATGAGGACTGCAGGACGCAATGGAAATGTTGCAAGGGCGAGTGCCTCATCGGCGGGTTCTTCACGTACGTCTTGCTCCCCCCGCGACTTCCTTCCATCGATGTTACTCGCTAATTAATTTTGATGTGGGGTTTCAAACTAGCGACGGGCTGTTCTGCGGTATGTGGTCCCCAGCGACTTCTCCTGCTAAAGAAGTGACGACGAGCTAACAAACCTCCTGCGTTGTGAAATAGATGCTTGCCTGGTCCTCAAGGAAGACCTCTAATAGATGATCTGGTATGTGGAACTGCTTTGGCTGCAGTGGTCAGAACCACAGCCGACTTTCGAGGGAATCGGTACCTAGGTGCCCGCCCGGGTAGATCTGAATATAATCAGGGTGCTGAATATCGCCCCAAGACAGTCGGGTGTCCCCGTTGTGTGATACGTGCACGTGTAGAATGCGGGTGGGCGCCCAAAGGCGCGTATCTATAACTTGGTCTCCAGGTCAGCCAACCATCGATTCTCTTTTGCTGAGATGGAACCTCGTAGTAAAGGCGCGAGAACTGGGTGTACAACGGGGAGGCGAGCAGGCCCCGATATGTTGCCACCTATCTAGACTGTTCCCATCCAAATTGCTGGTCCCTAGAGCCCAGGTGCCGAATTCTGTAAAATCTGCATGCCAGATTTTGTAAAAGCTACATGCAAACAAGGTCATCGAGCTCGGGCCGATGTGGGCCGTCGAATGCGGCGATACGAGCACTCGGTGTTGTTAGATGTCGCGAGGCTGGAGGAGAAGTGGCTGGGGCTGCGCCTCGCACCTCTGGCTCATCAGCTCATTCACGAGAAAAAAGGCTGCCCCTGGACCCTGATCACTCCGTCCCCACTGTTTTTCACGGCCATGCGGGGCGCCAGCGAGCTGTGGCCATTCGGGGCAGCACGGTCGGCAGCCGTTGGCCGAGACAATTTGGGGAACCAGTGCGGGGAGCGGGTCCTAGGGTCATGTTAGGCTGGCTGCCAAGGACCCTCAGCCGCGTCCAATGGGGCGCAAGGTGTTCCGCCAGTGCCGAAATCACAACGAGCGGGAGGAATGTGGGAAGGTCGGTCGGCACAAGCTCGAAGGAGCGAGGAGCGCATGGGGTTGGGCGTGCGCGCTGGCTGGTCTCAGGTGCTACGCCCCAAAAGTTTGCTGGTTGCTGCCCTGCATGGTCTGGGAACACCCCTGTCGAGGAGCGTGTCCCTGTAGGGTTGGTTGACGGCGGGTGGTGTTGTCCGTTTCGAATCCACTTGCACTTTGCATCTGCACCTACGTTGGCATCGCATCATGCCATGGCTCTCCCCCGCGTTTGTTGCATCATTGAGACTTCAGCTGCCGAGCCGAACAACGGGCGAAGCCAAAGCGAAGCCGTATTTCCACACCGAAAGACAACCCTACCATGCCCAATCCGGACACCGGCCGGTTTCCGATCCCTTTGTCTCGGTCGCCGTCCCAGAGGCGAGAAGGAAAAAGGCAGAAAACGCCTTGTGAGAAAAGCCCCACCACTTTTATGGCCCCTGAAGCCCAGCCAGCGCGCAGATGGAGTTCAGGTACCAAAGGATCGTCGGGCTTGCACAGCAGCCAAGCCAGTGCCAACCTTGAGCAACAGTCACTTGACAGGGTGCCTAGGCTCAGCCTCACAATCTGACAGCGCCATTGAAAATGAAACATAAGGCATACATTCCCATGCGTTTGCGTCGATATAAATCACCCGTTTCCCCTCATTGTTGGTGCAGCTTAACTTGACTTGGATTCACCACCCAAGTCTAGATACCCCGACATTGATACCCGGTCTAGTGCACCAAACACGACGCCAACTAATAATATCAGACCTATACCTCGATAACATCAACCCTCTCGCAACCCACATCCAACCGCCACAATGTCTTACCGCGTGGCTGCCCCCGATGAGTACCTTGCCATCACCGGCATGGGAATCAAGAGCGTGCGCATCACAAAGGCAGCATGGGTTCTCCCCTTCCAGCGCTGCATGCGCTTCAGCGTGCAGCCGCACGACTACGCTATGAACCTGCAGGCCATGACCAAGGAGAAGCTGCAGTTCCTGCTGCCGGTCGTCTTCACCATCGGCCCGGACGTCAACCAGCGCGGCGCCAACACCAAGGGCAAGGCCCCCGAGACGGGCGTCGTGCACGGCGGCGACCACGAGGGGTCCGACGCCGGCGGCAGCCACTCGTACGGCGACGAGACCACGCGCGAGGACCGCGGCGACGCGCTCATGAAGTACGCCATGCTGCTCGCCGACTCGGGCAACAAGGGCGGCAGCAACGGCGGCGGCGCGGGCCCCTCGCAGCAAACGTTCCTCGAGAACATCGTCAAGGGCATCATCGAGGGCGAGACGCGCGTGCTCGTGTCCAGCATGACCATGGAGGAGATCTTCCAGGAGCGCGAGGTCTTCAAGCGCCGCATCTTCCGCAACATCCGCGGCGAGCTGGCCCAGTTCGGCCTCAAGATCTACAACTCCAACGTCAAGGAGCTCAAGGACGCGCCCAACTCGTCCTACTTCGAGTCGCTGTCGCGCAAGGCGCACGAGGGCGCCACCAACCAGGCCCGCATCGACGTGGCCGAGGCGCAGCTGCGCGGCAACGTCGGCGAGGCGCAGCGCAAGGGCGAGGAGCAGCGCGAGATCGCAAAGATCAACGCCGACACGGCCGTGCAAAAGGTGGACCGCGACATCGAGCGCGCCCAGGCCGAGGCCAACCTGGCGACGCGCAAGACGGTGCTCAACCGCGACGTCGAGATCTCGCGCATCGAGGCCACGCGCGCGACCGAGGCCAAGGACGAGGACCTCAAGCAGGACGTGCAGCGCAAGAAGGCCGCCGCCGAGCTCGAGCGCCTGCGCGCCACCGACGTCGTCAAGGCCGCCGTCACGCGCGAGGTGAAGCAGCAGGCCGCCGACGCCGCCGCCTACGAGGTCACCACCCAGGCCCGCGCCGACCTCGACCGCAACCAGCAGGCCACAAACGCCGCCGCCTACGACACCAAGACCGCCGCCGACGCCCAGAGCTACGCCATCATCAAGAACGCCGACGCCCAGCTCCAGGCCCAGCTCAAGCAGGCCGAGGGTATGGCCGCCATGGCCGGCGCCTACGCCAAGATGTCGCAGGCCTTTGGCGGCCCCCAGGGCCTGCTGACCTACCTCATGATCGAGAAGGGCACCTTTGTCGAGCTGGCCAACGCAAACGCCAGCGCCGTCCAGGGCCTGCAGCCCAAGATAAGCGTCTGGAACACGGGCCCGTCGGCCGGCGACGGCTCCGCGGGCGGTGTCGACGCCATGCGCAACGTCTACCAGATGCTGCCGCCGCTCATGACCACCATCCAGGACCAGACAGGCATCACCCTCCCCTCCTGGCAGTTTGGCCACATGGCCACCGAGGCCTCCAAGGCCGAGGGCCCCAACGGCCAGAAGGCGTAAACCAGTCGCTCCCTCGACACATTTCTCTTTTTATCTCCCATTTAACTCTTTTGTACTGCCTACAACATCCCTGCTCACGAACCGCGACGCACGAGAATTTCACTTGATACCACAATTTATTTTCCTTTGTTATGCTACGTTGGTTTTCGACCAGGCTCCAGAATGGTACATTCGTTTCTGGCGTTAGCTCAAACGGATCACGGTGGCATTCTGATTGAAGCAAGTTGTTGCTTCCGTCCTTTTTCTAGGATATTTCCTCGTTCCTGCACTAGACCCCTACTTTCCGTTGGTTTTATGCCTTGGTGTCGAGGCACGAGAAGTTTGTAAATAACGTATCTCTCTTCACATTACATAGGAACATGAATGAAATTTCTAATATGTACGCCTCTTAGTGTTGAATTTCCCGTTCCTCCAGGTCAACAGTCGTAGCGTAATTTTGCACGAAGCGGGCTTGGTACACAACAGGCCGTACAATTCTCCGCAAAAGTGTTTATCGCAGCAACCAACGTGCTGGCATCTTTGGGAGTTGCATTCTGTCAAGATATAAATGAATATGTGCAAAAAGGCAAAAAGCTCACTCAGCCGTCGTAAGACAGCCTTGTTACGAAAACCTGCACTCGCTGGTTTTGCTAGCTCTAAAGTCGCCGTCACTAGTCGGATTCGAATCAGCGAGCTTGGGGTTTCCTGGCCCTCACCCGTGGAAGACGGTTGTGACTTTCGTCACGGTTTTCACCCGTTCGACCACCTGGTTGCTGCTGTGAGCTGTTGGAAACCAGACTGCCAGTCGTGCATATAAGGCACAGGCAGCGTGCAGCAGAGGATTGATTGCTCAGGTTCGATGTCGACGATGTCGTGACGCTCGCCACTTATTGTTGCCGCACCTGGGCATTCCAATTTGACGAAGCTGCGGCCAGACTTTGCTTACGTAATTACATTTCCTACTTATAGAAGGAAGCTCCAAAATGCTCTAGACGAGACTTGCACCCAAGACGGACATTGATGCAAAGAGTCTCAACGCAAACACCAACTAGATATCCACACAGGCGCTCATATTATATCCCCAAAGGAAAATGCCCCGCTCGGACGAGGCCGCCGCCTTCTTCCACGCCGTCTACAGCGCGGTGCAGGAGATACCGCCCGGCAAGGTGACGACGTACGGTCGTATCGCCGAGCTCGTCGGATTTCGTAAGTCTGGACGGCAACCGCATCCCCCAACGCCATCCTCCCGACCCGACGAGCTTTTCCTCTTGCGCACAGGTCGGCTAACCGAGCCGTGATGCCGCCACGTCCCCAGCACAACGACCGCGCCAGGTCGGCGTGTGCCTCAAGCACCTGCCAGAAGACCCCGAAGCACGCTTCAACCACGACAATGTCCCCTGGCAGCGGGTTATCAATGCAAAGGGAATAATTTCACCGAGGTACGTTTTGCAGTGTGTGGGCACTTAGTTTGTTGGTCATGTTCCGGCTGACTGGCGGCTTCAGGTCCCAACCGTCGGGCGCGCGGACCCAAGCTGAGGCGTTGAGGGCCGAAGGCGTGGAGGTGTCGACTAGTGCCATGGGCGAGTTGATGGTGGACTTTAACGAATACGGCTGGTTCCCGGACGAGCTGCCGTCGGAGCAAGAAACGTGACGCGTGGGTGGGGTGGTACAACAAGGAGGGCGCGCAGCAAAGAATCTTGGACCAAGGAAATGACGTCAGGACGAGATGTTGACTAGATACCACGCGTACACTCTGGTCGAATCTTTGCACATTATATCGTCAGCACAGAATTGTGACCCTTTTCGCCGTCGGTGGAAGCAAAATCATGGCAAACGTCAGATAGCAGTTGGACAATTTCCGTCCCATAGCAAATTCAGAACAGGTCCGTGAATTACGACTGATTCATCAGGAAACCTAATACGATTGAAAAAAGTACTCGAGCTTATCTCGTCGCCGACGAGATGACTCTGCCAGTCAGGGTTTAGCCGTGTTTGAAGCCTGACCATGCTTCGACATGTTTAAGCGAGTGGAGTTGTGGCCGCGAAGGCATACAAGTGAGAAGTGGACATGGACAAAACTACAGGTAAAGGAGCGGAAGAAACCGTGGTGAAGAAGAAGATAGCCAATACATTGATAACAGGTAGATGCAGCAACGTGCAAGTCGGGAAAATGAGAAAGGAATGGGCAAGAGAAAAGAGTAACAGGAGACGGGAACAAGACGCGACTACGCGTGCTATATAGAATGGAAGGTAAGCGTAGGCTTGAATGTCTTTTGAAACGCTAGCAAAATGCTGATGCAGTAAATGGACAAAAATGGTGCAGGGCTGGAAATTCAGACAGGAGACCCAGTTTGCCTCTTGGGGGTTGACGGGAGCAAGAAGGCATCCATGGTCCTCTGCCTCGAGTCGAACTTTGCGCTGCCGATGCCTCCCCTGGTCTTGCGCAGCCCGTCGAGGTGGTGCGTGTTGTTGACCGAGATTACCCTCACGTTTAGCACGGGCCGCCTGCGACGCGACGTCCTCGTCCTGTCGCCGTACGCGATGCTGGACGGGGGCCTGTCGGGCCGCGGGAGCGAGACGGGCGACGCCGGCAGCGGCGGCACCCGCACGACGACGGCCTCGAGGTAGCCCGTGTTTCCCCAGTGTATAGCGAACTCGCCGGCCCGCGGGGGCATGCGCGCGCTCAGGATGCCGGCCTCCCCTGCAGGGGTGCCGAACAGGCGCACGTACTCGCTCGCCGACACCTCGGACAGCAGCACCCTGGTCAGCACGTTGAGGATGATGCCGTGCGCGACCACCACTACCGTCTGCCGCCGCCGGGCGCCCTCGCCGTCCGTAAGCCGCGACATCAGCGGGAGCAGGTACGCCTGCGCGAAGCACTCCATGCGCGCCATCATCTGCTCCTGCGTCTCCGACTCCATGTAGCCCGGCGGGCGGGCGGCAGCGCTGCCGGGCGAGCGGTGTACTGCAGCACCAGGAGAGCGGTGGGAAGCGGCACTGGTAGGCGAGTGATGGTGCCCGGCGCTGGCGGAGCGGTGCGAGGCGGCCCGCTTGCCGTACGGCGCGCCCTCGCGAGAGCCAAAGTCTTTCTCGCGCAGGAGGGCGAGCGGGATGAGGTCGGGTCGGCGGCGGTAGCTGCTCCCGTTGGGGCTCGGGGTGGCGGGCTCGAGCGAGGACGAGAGGACGGGGACGGGCGGGGCGGCGGGGCCCTGGGCGGCGACGACCTCCTGGGCCGTGTCGAGGGCGCGCTGGAGGTCGGACGAGAAGACGTGGACGACGGGGCCGAGCTCCGGGCGGCGCGACGCGAGGTGCTCGCCCAGCCGGCGCGCCTGGTTCACGCCGTGCGACGAAAGTGGCGAGTCGGTCGAGCCCGCGCTGTGGCAGCCGCGTCAGTTATCGTGAAAAGCAAGCGCGCCCGGGCGCCCTCCCCCAAAAACGCCAGGCGGGCAAGGTGGCAAAAATCATGGTGGTGTCGAAAGCTGCGCGGTTAGGTTGCCAAAAAAGCATCAGGCGGGCAAAATGAAACGAAACTCACATGACCCCAGCAGCATTATCGGTAGATTCGCCATGTCGAACGAATAGGAGATGCATGTTTGGCGGGATCTTTGGTTTGTCGAAGCGACGACAAGGTGGGGGAGGAACAAAAGGGAACTGCAGACTGATGGAGACGGGAAAGGAACCGGGGCTGGCTTATGGCATTGTTACAGAATATGGGGGTTTGCCGTCTGGGTTGGGGTTGTTTCACCCCGTGCACGGACGCCAGAGCTCCCAACTCTAATAGGTGGGGGCTTGGGCGATGGATTCTGGCGCGCGGCAGTTTTTTACTGGGTCTCGTCGACGACATGTCACTTCCGCCTCAGAAACAAGTTGGAAGGCCGAGAAAATTCCCTCTAGCAGGCGGCAACCAGTCCACGCATGCGGTGAGCTGGCTGCTGCAAGGCTGGGTGGCACCTCTGATGGAAAGGTGGCTGCCTATCCAGTCCTTTGTATCCTGTGGAAAAGCAAATACCCCCGACGTGGTCATCAATTGTCCGTTTAAAGCTAAAACGCTCCCTCCTCGGCCTATCACACGCCTAGTCGTCTTTCTTTTCCCCCGTCGTTGTCTTGCAGCACTTCGACCCAACGGCAGTGATGGGCAGTGCAAGCAGCCCTGTTGACTAGTCTGTTTTTAGATGCTGAAACCACTGGCACGATGGGATGTGGGTATTCTCCATCTGACTGGGCATCAACTACTTCGTAGCCTACAAAGAAAGCAAGGCGCGCCGGCAATTTAACTAATTTTCTGTGAACAATGCTCGCAAAGCGGTTTTCATCCTCGGTACTGGATGAACTACGTGGAGGACTCTGCAGTGGCTGTGATGGCGATAGCTGGAATGCGGCATCGTATCCCAGGTTGGGCTCTACTCCCGCAGTGGCAGCTGTCAGTCTAGTGCATCGCGATCCAGTAAGCACCAACCAAGACAAGATTCAGTATCACCCCGGGGTCGAAACGTCATCAACCCAGGTCGAATACATGGGGTGCGACTAACTGGGTAGGAATGGGGAGGGTCATTGGGCCTGCCTGGTCAGTTTAAGCCATAAAGCATATGTGTTGCCGACGAGGGCGGTGATTCGGATTCAAAAAATGGCTATACACGCCTCCCTCACTGCATATCTCCGGCGCATTCCTTTTTCTGATCGCGGTCATGGCACAGTTGCAGGCGTGGGCGCAGGCAGATGTTGCTGAATGCAAGGTTGATTGGACGTGCTCTCGAAAGGCGTTCTCCGAGCCTACAAACAGGAGTACCCAGCTCGTACCAACACTTCCTTTCCTTTTTACCCGTCCTTCTTACTTGCCCAAACGAGTAACATTAGGCAAGCTCTCCAGCGACAATGCGATACGGGAGTTATTACTCTCCTTTGTGCACACAACGGCCAATTCGACGAACATAAACGCCCAAGATTGTTAATAGCCGCGGCCAGATGAAAGAAAAGGACCAGTCGGCACAAAGCAGCTTGTCTTCCACCAATTTTTTTCACAAGCACCAGCTTTGTATAAATGTGCCATCTTCTTCAATCCAACCCGCTCGTTCAGGCAGCTCTTCTCTCTACCCAGGACAAGCTTGCCTGCCGAGTTTACACTTCCTGGATCGCGAATTTGGCTGCACAGGTAACGTTCGCCACCCCCTACCCTTTTTTCTTTATCACGCAAGCACCCTCTGGCAGGCTTGTAAGGAACCGAGTTGTGAACTCTCGCAATCATGTCGCTAGACCTCCACAACAGGATAGTATTGGCGGCCGCGGAGGCGATGGGCTCCAACCATCTGTGGCAAAAGGAGGCGGTGTGGGAGCCGAAAACCATCGTCGAGTGCGGATGGTGCCACATGCTTTTCGCAGCGGATCAGAAATTTAACTGCGTCGAGTTCGGGTACCTCTACGATTCGGAGGGCGGAATCGGCCACCGGGCTAAGCGGTGGCTGCTCACGTCCTGCAAGTGCGAGGGACTCATAGGCTTCTGCATCAACCTCGTCTTCGAGTTCGCCGAGATCCGCGGTGCCGTATTCGACATCGAAGGCACGCGTGAGACGACTGTGAACCTGCCGTCTGACTGGCGCTTGCTCAACATGACACCCTCGGACTACAGACAAGTCCGTCGTCGTATCAGGGCCCGGGCTCGGTATCATGGGGTTCCCATTTCCGCAATGGGTGAGGGGAGGATGAACCTGGCCAGGAGACGTGGCAGGCAGCCTCCCAGGCCGGTCGCCATCCCCAACCCGGACATGGATGAGCAGGCTGTGCGGGGACGTGCGTAGTTTCATCACTCCTGCCATTTTGCTGTATCCAGGGTCCTATAATCTGTCGGCATGCATTTTGCAAGCGTGGAACCGCGGGACGCTAAGACCTTACCTGTACTCCGCTACGTTAGCTATTTGGGTTGCTGGTTCGTGCCCCTGTTGAGGATCGAAGAAAACGACGGCCCAAGTGGGACGTTTCGTAACTGTCTGCCCGGAGCGGCAGTGAGCTTTTGCGCTTTACTTTTTTTTAATAGTACTTGATGAATTACCCTGCTACCTTTTAACTCAACTGTTAGAACTGGCCTATGTGCACGTGCATGGTTAAAGGAGGAAGGCCGCAACGCCCACTGATTACGGGACTCGGTGGGATGCACCCAGCTGGGCATCGCTTGCGACACCCTGTCATATAGATCTCTTCATTTTTTGCACACAAATCCAAGGTTATTATTATTCCAAAATGGCAAATAACGATCGTTCCCAATAGGAAGAAGGCATTCTCCGAGCTACAAACAGGAGGAGTGCCAGGCTCCTCCTGCCAACATTACCTCTTTTTAATCGTCCGACATTAAACTTTTAACATCCACCATCCATGCCACTGCTTTTCCTTTCTATATAAGCAAGCACCCATTATCAACTGCACTCGTAATCGGAATAGTGCTCCTTTTATGCTGCAGTGGGCGCCGTGCGGGGAGGGTAACGAAATTGTCAAGTGAGGTTAACACGTGGACAAAGGAGGAGGGGGGTTTTAGCGGGTTAAGTCACGACGGCGAACAGAATAAAAAGATTACCCGGAATAAAATTAGGAGGGCTGATAGAAACAAGCCCGGAAGCTAGTAAAAATGGGATGAGGACCTATGATTATGGGATACCGTCACAAGTCTCACTTGCTCGCCATAGCTGTAGCCTTCTCAAGGTGCGGCTTTCTCAAACCAGACAGTCTCTTGAGGCCAAGGGGTGTCTTTGAAGATACCCTCTCCGAGCCCACTGGATGGCATTTTCCCCGTTGGCCTCCGGCTCCGCAGCCTTCACTAAGTCATTGTGCTCAGCGAACTCGTCGGCTCGGCATCCTGGGCGCTAGAAGTCACGATGACGTGAGAGTGTTCTGCCTGAGTCATGATCCTCTGCATGAGAGGACCTATGGCGACTTCGACATCCCTCAGCAGCGCCGCCGTCTTCTCGAGGTCCCTCGAGATTTGGGCTTGTGAAGTCTTGTGGCTGGGACGGCCCAGCAAACCCAGAATGTCCTGCATATGTTTGTTGGCTCGTCCCCTTCCGAAACCTAGTACGCTGACCGAATTGGTGAGCGCGTCCTCGGCGGCTTTGGCTTCGAGCCTGGCCGCCAATATTAAGTACGACGCCGCCATGAGCCTCTGGTAGGCCAGAGTGCAGTGGAGCAGCAACCGGAAAAGGCCGCGGAGCTGTTTGCTCAAGCAGCTCCTCCTGACCATGGCCCTGCAGTCCCCGCAGGAGGTGTACTCGCAGAGGATGGGAGGCGAGGAGCTGTCACGCATCATTCCCATAATCAAAGCGTGCTCTTGCGGACTGACATCGCCGGACAGGCCCATGATGTACTCGTCGGGGTGTGTGACAGTCAGGCACAGCGTATTGAAGGCATCAACGTTCTCGGCCCACTCGCGAATGTACACATCCTCCTCCTTTTCCCGCCTCTTCTCGAGAGCAATCAGCTCTCGATACTTGGAGCTGAATCGAGTGGAGATGTAGACACGTGTGAGCTTCGAAAAGGCCATTTTGACGTATGGATGCTCTTGGTCTGCGAGTGAGGACTGGTGCGGAAGAGGATTGGAGATGATCCGGGCCTGGTGGTTTGGTCGGCTGCAAGAAATCTAGGGGGATGCTGAAAACTGTTCCTGAGCATATGTATCGTGTCGATGATCGAACCACGAGAAGAAGGGGAGGGCTCGGGTCTGTTTGCGCTTTGTCTATGTGACACGGTTCATTCACAAATTACGTACGAAAGACACACTGGCTCCGTGCAGCTTCTAAGTGCATGCTTCACACAAGCGGATTCGCACAGATGGCGTTGGTGGCATCTTCCTAAACTGATTACGGCCTCTGGTAGTGCATCGTCTTGGGCTTTCTTTTTGGGGGCTTCTCCGTCCATTTCCTCTGAGAACCGCTCTCCTATGCCGTGATCGGCTCTCACCCTGAGGGAATGGGGGCATGGCGAGGGAGAAGTTCAAAGAAAATAGAATGGGATTGTCGCGCTCATTGTTTCAGACTGATGAGGGCGGTGGACAAAGGAGTCCTCGGGTAGTTGTTGGCAAAAGAAGTACAGCGCCAGTCTTGGATCCATCAATATATAAATGGAGGCCAGCTTCTACCCCAGTGCCAGATATTCCCTTTCTCAACCACCAGCAATCAACAAGTCTCACTGTACAGAACCTTCTGCCGAGACACCCAGTTTGACTGTTGACTGCCTACTCGCGATTCCGACACCCAATCCGCCAACCAAAATGTCTGCTCACAAGGACGTCGAGCAACATTTGGGGGCGGGAGAGTGGGAGGTCGTTGACGGACCCGTCATCCCCCTCGCGGAATCCAACCCATTCGCGGATTCTACTCCTTCATTCCCTACGTCTCCATTCGCGGACCCTCCTTCCCAGGACTCGGATTCTTCGGATTACGATTCCGACCAGTTCGATCTCGGGGACTACGATCTCGAGGACCCGTTCGCCAACTGGGACGGCGGAGCCGCCACGGGTGAGGAGCCCGCCCATGCCACAAGCGAGACCAGCGAGCGCCCCGCCGCCCCCTACATCCCCTCCTCCCTCCAAGCCATTGCTAAGCGGGAGAAACTCCCGCAGCGGTACGTGGAGTGGGTCCTGCCCCGCGTCATCAAATGTCTAGCCTGTGACGCCGAGGTCGTCACCGGCGGCGGCGGCGCGCTTTGGTGCCTCGTCGTCGAGGAAACCGCCCCCGTCAAGAACCTGTGGGCGGCGTGCCCGCGGTGCGAAACCCCATTCCATGCCAGTTGGCCCCAGGGGCCGCGGGGCCGCCTGTGCCTCGGTGGCGCGCACTTCCCGCCGCGGGCGCGGCCCGGGGTGATCGAGCTGAGGTTCTCGGCTAGGTTCGACAGGTCGGACCCGGCGAACCCCGTGATGCTGCCGGGCCCGGGCGGCGACGGGAAGGTGAGGGTCGGCAGCGGGAAGTCGGCGGCGGGCGAGGTCGAGGATGAAGAAGACCTCCCAGACCTAATGCTATCCATCGACCTCAGTAAGATCCCCGCGTTCCGGAGGACCGTGGATTCCCGCGGCGAAGCAGATCTGGGCCTAAAGCTGGTCCTCGGTTACGGCGACCAGCCGGCAGAGGATGACCCACGGAGTGGCTGGAACGTTACAGGTACGAGGTTTGCTTTGGACAAGGGTGAGTTCCCGGGGTATCTGCGGTCCCCCGCATCTCAGTAGGCGAATGCAGCTGATCAGTGAGCAGCGCGGTCAAGTCTCCCTTTTAGTGTTGGATGGAGAGTCATATATTCTGACGAGGCGGCCTCGGGGCGCGGTCAGCCCCAATTTATAGGGGGCAATGTCAACATCGGGCCGCAACCGCTCGGCCGCGACCCCGGAACACGAGAATTGCAGCCTTTTCATCCGCGGCCTGCCGGCAGGCCTGACAACGCGACAGCTGTTGGCGGGCATCCACGGCGTCGGGCGCGTTTACGCCACGCACAGCAACCGGACTGGCCTGAGCCCAGCCGCGAGCAGCTGGTCGCGTCGTCAGGTCCGCCGGCAGGTCGAGGATGAAAAGGCTACAATTCTCCTGCTCCGGGGTCGCAGCGTAGCGGTTGCGGTCGATGAATGCCTAATTAGGCATCGATATTGCCACCTAGCCAATTACTACCATATTTCGAATGCTTTGCTGCCTTGCGCTAACTGGATTTATGTGACCCCAAAACGTTGACTGTTGTCGCAATAGTCTTTTTGCTAGCTCGATTGGGTAGGTAGGTGTGCTTATTGTGATTGTAAAGAAATTCGGGACGGGTAAGCCAAAAGTGCGGCTTTCGAATAAATAGGTACCAGGCAGGCGCTTCCAGACTTGACGCGAAATCGCAGCCGAGTCTGAAGAAGACAGGACATGAAGCCCTAGGCTGCTACGATCTTGAGAGCAAACGTCATATAATCCAAGCCAACACCGTGCCCCTATCGGTAAAATACCATCCATCCCCAAAACAATGTCCCCCACCACCTCCGCCGCCGCCGCCCCTGATCTCCTCCCCCCACCCACCCTCGCCGTCCCAGCCCACCTCCTCCCGTACGACGTGCCCATCCCGCAGTACCTCGCCACGCAGCCGGGCGTGGACGAGCTCCTCACCGCCGCCGTCGTCTTCGACCCGCACACCGACAAGATACTGCTCGTGCAGCGCGCCGCGTCCGACGGCGTGCCGCACCGCTGGGAGACGCCCGGCGGCTCCGTCGAGCCGGCCGCCGACGCCACCGTGCTGGCCGCCGCGGCGCGCGAGCTGCGCGAGGAGTCCGGGCTCGCGGCCGACGCGGTGGTGGCGCTGGTGCACGCGCACGAGTTCGACCACGGGGGCCGCACGTTCCAGAAGCTGACGTTCGAGTTCGAGGTGACGGGCTTGTCGTCGTCGTCGTCGTCGGCGGCGGCGCCGGTGGTGGTGACGCTGGACCCGGCGGAGCATCAGGATTACGTGTGGGCGTCGGAGGAGGAGTGTAGGGCCCGGCGGGCGGATGGGCGGACGCTGGTATTTACGTTTCCGAGCCAGGAGGCCGCGCTTGAAGCGGCCTTTGCTCGGCGCAAAGCGCGGGGGTGACCACTGGAAGAGAAAGAAGTTTGGAGAACCGTGATATCCATTTTAGTTCTTTTTATTTTATTTTCCTTCTACATTTTATTCTGCCCAAGGAAATAAAACATCGCTTTGTCGCTGCTTGTCTCTCGACTTTATCCAAAAATCACCTGCTCGTATCAACAACATATCGCCCCACAATCTTGCCCTCCTTCATCATCTCGTACACGCTCTGCAGCTCGCTCAGCCCGACCGTCTTGTGCGGCGCCTTGATCAAGCCCCGGGCGAAGAAGTCGAGCGCCTCGGCCGTGTCCTGGCGGTTGCCGACGTAGCTGCCCTTGATGGTGATCATGCGGATGACGGTGTCGAACACGGGCGCCTTGAGGTGCGCGCCCGCGGGGAGGCCGATGCAGACCACGGTGCCGTGCGGGCGCACGTACTCGCTCGCCTGCTGGAACGGCCGCTCGCTCACGGCCAGGAGGATGACGGCCTGCGGGCCCATGCCGTCCGGGGTGGCGGCGCGCACGTCGGCCACCAGGTCCTTGCTGGTCGAGAAGTCCACAAAGGCCGTGGCGCCCAGCTCGCCCAGGCATGCCTTCCGCTTGTCCTCGCCGCCGTCTATGGCGATGGCGTGCATGCCCATGGCGCGCGCGTACTGCAGCGCCATGGCGCCCAGGCCGCCGCCGGCGCCGACGACGGCGACGAACTGGCCCGGGCGCGCGCCCGACTCCTTGAGGCCCTTGTAGACTGTGATGCCCGCGCACAGCACGGGCGCCACCGTCTCGAGGTCGACCCCTTCGGGGATGCGGGCCACGTGCGCGGCCTTTGCGATGGCGTACTGCTGGAACGAGCCGTCGACCGTGTAGCCCGACAGCAGCGCCTGCTGGCACAGCGGCTCGTCGCCCTGCCGGCAGAAGGAACACGACAGGCACGAGCCGTTGAGCCACTTGATGCCGACGTGGTCGCCGAGCTTCACGTCCGACACGAGCTCGCCGCGCGCCACGACGACGCCCGCGCCCTCGTGCCCGCCGACGAGCGGCAGTTTGGTCGCCAGCGGCCAGTCGCCCATCATGGCGTGCAGGTCTGTGTGGCACACGCCAGAGTACTTGACGTTGATTAGGACCTCATCCGGCCCGGGCTTGGCGACGGGGATCTTCTTGTAGACGACGGCTGTGATGGGGGGCATGTTTAGTCTTGTGTTCTGGAGGCGGTCCATGTGTATGGATGGAAAGTGGCGAGCGCTTGCCAGGGAAACTCACGGCCACCACTCTTTTCCACCACCTGCGCCATCTGCTCTGTCGGAACGTTCGCCATGCTTTCGACACGGGATGAAAATCGTCTAGATCCAAGGGTCTGTGTCTATAGTTCGTCCCAGAAGCACACGCCAAGGTCTTAGTATATATGTATAAAGTTCTAAAATAGAGGTGGCAGAAGGTTCAAGGTAGTGATGAATGAGAGAAGAGACACGATGGAAGAACGAGGGAGCAGGCAGCCCTTTTATACAAAACCCACGAGGTTGAGATTGTGACGAGACAGAGTGGCGAGACACCTACATTGGACGAGGGAAAGGGAAGATGGAGTCGAGGGGGGTCCCGACTCTCCTTGGTCACCCCATAGAAGTGGTGCTTCGGACCGATCAGGGCACATGACCCCCATCTGGTTCCCTGGCGGGCTCCAGCTCGAAGCAAGGCGCGGGAAAGCATCATGGATCTTGGCTAGGTGGGAGCAAGCTGTGGGAAGGAGGCTTGGAATTTGGGGAATTCTTCAAGTTTGCGTTTTGGCGCACACCTCTGGAGAAAAGGAAGGACGAAAAGGGGTGGTGTGAGTGAAGCCCGCCGCGTAGTCCTCGGACCTGCGCTCCACATTATATGCAAGGTGTGTGCGGGGATGGTCGAGATGGACCGTCTTGCAGGGGATATTGATGTGATGGAATGCCATCTTACCCCTGGCTTGAAGTAGGCATGCTCTGGGGGTGCTTTTGTTTTGATCTGGGACCGAGCTAACTCCAAATACCTGGTTACGCACATCGAATTGCCATTGCCGAGATATCTGCTCCGATATTTTTAGGCGTAGAGTCCAATGCAAAGCCCCTGACCAAGCACTTATGACCGAGGACCTGTTGAAGGCATTCTGAGCCGCGAGGAGGACATGATGGGATAAGTTCACGGTAGCTATAATATCAGACTCTGCACGTTTGTGGCAGCGGCACGAGGACACACTCCCTCATCCGATCCAGCGATGCGGGGCCCCAGAAAACCCTCTCTCTCTTCCCCAAGTTTTCCCCAGCGCGTGTCAAGAGTGCAGGAGAAACCACGTCTCGATGGTCCGGGGAACGCTAGCGCAGAGCTTTCCTGGGAGTGGATGACAGCAGGCAGCCAACCGAACAGGCCTTCTCCGCACTTGCAAGGGATGGCCCGGGGAAAGAAAGGAGGGGTTCATCAACGGCGCTTGTACTGGCCAGATGCAGCGGCCGGGTCAAGGGTCCTCGGCTATGCGCAAATGGCCGCCTCGACTCGGGCTCACGCTTGCGCCCTTGATCAGCGCGCTTGGCTGACCGCCGTCGGTAAGCGGCGTCAATGCGACATCCGTTCGAGCGGGAGGTGTCCCTCACGACGCGCCATCCATCCTTCCCATCGCCCCGCGAGTATGACATTGCTTGGAGGGGAGAGGTGGGGGAGGATAAGGGGTACTGTAGGGCCTGTCTGGGCAAGGATAGCGCCGGTAACTCGCTCAGAGCCAAGCTGTGCCTCCCATCGAGACAAGCAACCAGATGGGGAGCATCTAGGGTGGGGAGCGCATGCGGGTTGGCAGGGGCTACGAGATGGCTGTTCTTGGAAGAACAAACTTTGGGAGGGTGGGAGACAAGCCCTTGGGCGTCATGAACCGCAGCAAAGCAGCGCCGGGAGGGGGTATCTGGGATCCTTGGCACGAGGGCGCGGGGTCGCCTCGCCCGCCAGACCAGTCGCTGGCAGTCAAACGAGGCAGACAGACGCACGCGTACGGCGCACGCGAGCTGAAGCGGGAGCTTTCTCCCGCCGCGCTACTCGAGTGCCGCCAAACAGGGCGGCTCTTCGGCTTTTCGCAGGGTCAACGGAGGTCCCACTAGCGGCGTATCAAGGGCGAAGGGAAGCGCTACAAAATCCTGCGTTTCCAGGCCGCATGCAAGGTGAGGCCGGGCTGAGTGGCTAGCTGGCCAGTGGCGTAGGGTAAGAAGGGGCGGGGGATGCAAGGGGAAGCTCGCTGGTCGTCGAGAGTAGCATCAGTAAGTGGGATCGACCCATCACGCCACTTTTTGTCGGCTCAAGTGGAGCCCCCCACTCAAAGAAGCACCGGCATCCCGGCTCCGGCCGTCTCGGGCGCCAAGGTTGGACCTCGGCTTTTAAACTGCCTTCCGCAGGAGCGGTGGGCTTGGGTATCCTGGTGAGCAAGGGGCAGCGGCGAGCATTGCATCCAGGATTGCATCCAACATTGGTCCAATCCATCCTGCCTGGGTAGGCCGCCGTTTCTGCGCTCCGTAACAATCCTCCCTGTCCGTTTTTGGCCGCCGGTGTCGGCCTGCACCACCAGGACGAGACCGTCTCCACGTCATTATGCTTGCGTCACTTAGAAGGAGGACCGCAGAAACAAAAGTGCTCGTTTTCAAATAGTAATTCGCCGCCTCCTATCGACAACTCAGCTACGAAACAAACTATCTGGATTTTCTGGAACATACCAGAGGGAAGATATCTATTTCGGTTGAACAACCGTCTCCATGTATCCAGCCATTCTCTACGAGCCGCCCGGACCGCCCAAAAGGGCAAATCTCCGCACGATTCCGGGGCCATACTCCTGGTACTGTAAAGAGGGAAGCCGGCGGTTAGAAACTGGGCAGGAGATGATGAAAAGGAAAAGCAAGCAAGACAAAAAAAAAAAACTCACCTCAGCCTTGGTGTGGCAGTATGACCTGAACTCGGGCGTCTGGCCCAGCAGGCTGCCGCCAAACCAGGGGCCGTGCCGCTGGCGCTTGTGCGAGATGACCTGAACTTCGAGACCGCCACTCTTGGCGCCGCCGCTGCGCACCTCGCTGGCCCGAATGCGCGCGTCGACGAGCTGCTTGACGTCGCGCTGCAGGCGCCGCCCAAAGTCCTTGTACAGCGTGCTGCCACCCGACAGCACAATGTTCTTGTACAGACCCCTGCGTACGTCGATGGGCGACGACTGGATCACCCCGTCCACCACCACGGGCAGCGGTGTCAAAAAGTCCGAGCTGTAGATCTCCGGATTGAAGAAGATCTCGGGCGCCAGGAACCGCTCGTACCCGACGTCCACCGTAACCTGCCGGCCGCCGGGTTGCGCCACCACGTGCTGTGCGAATCGCGTCCGGTCGCGGTCGAACTTTGTAAACTCCTTGACCATGTCCGGGCACACGTAGCAGTACTCCTCCTTGATCTCCTGCGCCGCCTTGAGCGACGAGTCGGGCTCACCGCGGTCGCGGAGGAGCGACTGCACAAAGTACGTAATGTCGCGGCCTGCAATCGGGATCGACTTGATCGAGGACCCGATCACGTAACCTTCGGCGACTGGGATAACGTGCGTCACACCGTCTCCCGAGTCGATAACAGTTCCCGTGAGCGACCGGTCGTGCACCTTGGACGATGTCCATGACGCCGCGAGCGCTAGCACTGCCTGCACGGCGATGTACAGGCCGGCGCAGTTGAACGACTCGAAGAAGATCTCGGCCGTGTTCTCGCGGTTTTCGGGCGGGTTCAGTGGCTGCGACAAGAGCGAGAAGCGGTCAGTGTCCGGACAACTTCAAAAAGTCACGTCGACTACAGTGTGGGTTGTTCGTACCGGTTCCGTCAGGAGGAAGAAGTGGTCTTCGGGCTCTACTCGCAGGTACTTGAAGATCGAGTTGGACCAGAAACGCTCCATATGATCCTAAATAGGAGCCACCGCCAAGTCAGTGTCAGCACTATCACCTGCCTTGAGTTGATCTCAGCACCCCCGAGTGATATATATAAACTAACCCAGTTCTCTATTTGTCCGTGCCGAATCGGATAGTGTATGCCATATCCTGCGAGTTTGGCAAGTCAGCATGTATGCCCCCGACATACGTCATACCACAGCCAGGGGCATGTTGGGAGGCCGGGATCATGTACCAGGTCCAGATGATGCTGCAACGGCTTCGTCGCCGATAAAGAAGTCAAGATCTTCGGTGCCGCGCTTTCCAGAGAGGTGGCCACCGGGGCCGGCTCCGCCCGTAAGGAAACTCGGCTTGTTGGCCACCGCCGGGCGGCCTGAGCCGGAGCCTCCACCACCGCCGGCGGGGCCCTTGGTCGCGATCGCGGTCGGGAAGACGAAGGAAGGGGAATCGTTTCCGGCAAAACCTGGAATTGAGAAGAAAAAGGAGCGTTAGCACAATAGCTCGGCGATGCGTTTCAGCCTATTCAGTATAACCCCGCATAGGTCGTCGTAGCTGGCTAGGAAGCGGTGCCTGTCGACATACCTAGCTTCGAAAAACCCGTGCCGCTGTGACGAGAGCAGCATTGTCAGAATGTGTCTATGTACACGCGGCGGGAAGCTCTGTTGCGGCCATGTCTAGATGGGCGCGGGCAGGGGGTCTAGTGGCTGGGAGCTGGGCCGCGTCGCCGCTGCAGGCATCAAGCTCCAGAGATTCCGACTCACTTGTCCATGACAACGGCGGGCGTTTGGTTGGCCATCTTTGGCGGTTGAGGAGGGCCGACGGGCTCCTCTGGTCCTCCAAAGCTTGAAAGGCGGTCGGCGGTCTGGCTCGTCGATGGAGAGCTCGCAAGGCGGTTGATGCAGGTTGGCCCGCCGCCAGGTAAGATGGGATGGCCTCAAGCCGAATTACGTGCCTTGGTGGATGCCAAGCCAGCTGAGGCTGATGCTCTCCGCTTGCCCCGCCATTGGCGCCGCGAGCCACAGGTACGGTGGCGCAGCGACAGCACCCACCAGCTCCACTTTCTCAAGTCAGGAAACGACCCAAGGAAACGACCCACGCGATGCTGACTTCTCAACGTTTTCGTCCAAACAGCCCCGATTCGGATTGAAGATGGAAGCAGCCACAGCCTTCAGCAGCTGTCTCACCCGGTGATTACCTGATCCGGGCGGTGGTCGCTAGGTTCTTGCGTACTGACATCTCTTTTTTTGCGCCTGTTTGCAAGGATCAAGACGGCCACCAACCCGAGCTCTCCTTTACTTGTTGGTGCCATTTCGTGGTCACGGCTTCGCGCAGCTGTGCAGACTTACAATACTCCCATAATAGGCGAGATATCTACTTGAGTTCCAATACACGCAAAACCGACGACATTACAGATACCTCTGTGTCGTCTTCAATGATGCTCTGAACGAGGTTCCTGGAGTTCGCCTCGCCTCGCAACCTTGGAAGCTCTTGCGTTACAACATCCTAGTCCACCTAGGTCGCTGATGCATCACCGGCTCTTGTTGGAAGCTGCATTCTTGCCGCCCAGCCCTTGACACCCAAGGGAGCCATCGCTCTTTCTTATAAGGAGTCCAAGGTTTCTCCCTACCCTATCCTCGACGTTACGTTCCTGCCACCACTTCGCTCGACTCGACCATACCTGGCGTTTTCATCGCCGCGTCATTCGCTTCTCAAGCTCGATCGAACAGCCGTCCTTCTGCCTCCGTCCAACAGACTCTTCCCGGCAGTGCACGCCACCGAATTCTTCTTGAACCTCACGCCTGGCCTCGCCTGTATCGTTTGCTATATCGTTTGATAGTATTTCCGTGACGCGGCGCTGCGTCTTTCGCGTGTGCCTGTCAATCCGCCCTCGGGTCGTTCGCCTTCATCCAAGACTGGGAGTCTCTTTCACGAATAGCCAACACTTTGCTCGCTTCACCTCCTCGGCTTCGTCTCCACCCCCCATCTACTTCTTTTGCCCAGGCCCCTGAACCCTTGATTATACTTGTCTGGCCGTCTTTGAAACACCACGCTCCCAACGCCCTAGACTATCCCGCTTTCAGACGACAGTCAGTGCCCCGGGCTTGGTTATTAAGTATGCGGAATCCCTACAGTCCTGCGCTTTTGCTCACAATCGAAGACCTCAGTCGTCTCACGATGGAGGGCAAGGATCTTGAAAGCTTCCAACCGAGCCCGAATTCTCCGCCAGCCTCCCAAGCGGACAATCCTCCAGTTGAAGCCCCTAATGGCGTCACAAGCTCTTGTGAGAGAACGGCTCCGGTAGTTCCAAATTGCGCTCTCACTCCAGTGACTACCACCAGCGGCGACAGTTCCGTCGGGAGCGAGGCTGAAATCGATGGCATATTCTCGACTCCCAATTTCGGCGGTAATGCCGCACTTGACTACATCTACAAGAAAAAAAAGCCCGTCGCTGCCGTCTTCGTCCATGCTGGCGCCGGCTACCACAGCCATATCAACGAACATCTTCATCTACAAGCCTGTGCCGAGTAAGTCACATCCTCACAAGCCGCAAGCTGGTTCATACCAGTACCCCGTGCTAATTCCTTATTCAAGTGCTGCTCGGGTTGGAATGGCCAAGCTGAAGCAAGGCGGAAGTGCTGTCGAGGCCGTTGTCGAGGCCATCAAAAATCTTGAGAACAATTCTGTCGCCAACGCGGGATTTGGCAGCAACCTCTGCATCGACGGCACAGTCGAGTGTGACGCTACGGTTGTCGATCATAATGGACGCAGCGGTGCTGTCGGCGCCTGTCCCCGTACGTCCGGCTCCATCCTGTGGCAGGTCACTTGGCTCATTTGCATGCGGCTGACTCTGATACAGACATCAAGAATCCCATTACCCTCGCCGAGCTGGTTCTGCGCGAATCATACAAGGCCATGGCTTTGCGCCGAATCCCTCCCATCCTGCTGATCGGCTCAGGCGCATGCGAGTTCGCCCACGCCCATGGCATGACCCTCGCCTCCAACGACGACATGGTCTCGACGAACGCTCGGGATCGATGGGAGAAATGGAATGAGGAGCTCCAGAATGCGAATGGGCGTACCAAACCCGTCGAGTCGGTCCTCAACCACCCGCTGCTGAGAAACCGCGATCATGTGGCCGCCATTCTCACGGGCACATTCAACGAAGGCCAGCCAGATTCCCCCCTTCACGAGACAAGCACCCCCGCGGCGTCTCCTACGACTCCGCCACTCCGCCGTTCGCCCGGCCAGATCACGCCGATTAGAAGTGGCTCTGCGCCGGCTAGATCCCCATCGCCACCGGCCAAGCGTGTCCGCTTGATCTCGCCCGCGGAGACCCTGGAACTGGGCAAAGGGCTGCCATCTCCTAAGCTCTCGCTGAAGCCGGGCAGCCCGAATCGTCCCCGCGCCCACGGCAACCAACTTGATAGCTCCGAGGCTTCGAGGAGCGCAGCGCGTGGCGACCAGGGCAGCGAGGAAGACAGCGCGGAGGGGACCAAGGCCAACCAAGAGCACCCCAAGGAGACCAAAAACGTCAAGAATCTCCCAAAGGATCACCCCGCCGACAACCTCTGCCCATCTCGGGACAGAGATTACGCCAGCCCGGGCAAGGACCGCCCCCACGACGACGACGACGACCGTATCAACGACACGGTCGGCGTCATCGCCATCGACAGCCAGGGCCGCATCGCCGCCGGCTCCTCGTCGGGCGGCATCGGCATGAAGCACCGCGGGCGCGTCGGCCCCGCCGCGCTGGTCGGCATCGGCACGGCCGTGATACCCGCCGACGAGGGCGACGCGGCCCGGCAGGCCACGGTGGCGGCCGTGACGAGCGGCACGGGCGAGCACATGGCGACGGCCATGGCGGCGCACAAGTGCGCCGAGCGCCTGTACCAGGGCAGCGTGCGGGGCGCCGACGGCTACGACGTGCGGTGCTCCGACGGCGACGACGACGAGATCATGGCGTCGTTTGTCGAGCACGACTTCATGTCCCACCCGGGCGTGCGCGCCGGCGAGGCCCGCCCGGCCATCGGTGTCATGGCCGTCAAGAAGGTGGCCAACGGCTACTACTTCTACTTTGCCCACAACACCGAGTCGTTTGCAATCGCGTCCATGGCGGCCTCGGACCGCGCCCCCAAGGTGGTCATGTCGCGCATGCCCGAGTACGCGGTGGGCGTGCGGCGCCCGCTTACCATGCGCGGGGCGCGCAAGATCTCGGCCTGATGAGCGGGGGTGGGCAGGTCGGTTATACTATCCACTTTATACCAGGACGAGACCAGGGTGGTCCGAATGTCAAGAAGGACGCGGCGCGGGTCAGACGTAATCAACATTCCTAAAGCGAGCAAGTTCCAAGTATCGAGTATCAAACCCCTAGACACAGAGCCGAGAGGCTTCCGTTAGAAAATATGAACAGGCATCAATGCCAGAGTATCTGCCATGCCTGAGGCGTAGTTGTATCTGCGTGTGGCCGAGCTTCGGGTTCTGTCTCGATCATCCGTTTATGGGTAGACGAGGTGTCCGGTGCTGCCACCTCCACTAGGTGAAGACTAACTTGGCAGTGGTCCTACTCTCATATAGCGCGCCTTCGAAAAGGCCTAAACTGGGACCTACGTTATCCTACTTTCGCCCGCTGCTTTTGTATCTTTTGAGTGTCATGTTTGCCATACGAACCACAGGTGAGTTGTAGCGATTTGGGAGCCTTATGGGGGTTTTGGTAGATCCCAACGTGTCTGTCTCTGACGCTCGCCTCGGGCTTGGATGAGAGTGACGGGTCTTGATCCATTGCTGAGGAGCTCAGACACCCCCGAAGAACCAGAGTGGCAGGGACAACGACATTTTTCATTGTGATACTATCGCCAATCTACCTCTGGTGCTTCAAGTTCTCCTTTCGTACCCACATCCACCTTGCCGCGGTGTGAAAGGGCCTGGCTTGAAAATCTAATATTTTATTTCTAAGCTTCCGCCAAGTCAGAAAGCTGTTCCGATCCAAACCAGGGGATGTCTATTTGGATGCATCGCCCGTCTAGTCGTGAGAGCATCATGTATCTAGAAAAAGAAAAAGAAAAGTCTCGAATGCAGCCACTAATGCCCACATGCCCCTGACCTGTCCCTGTTCCTGGGAGTGTCTTATGTTGGGGCTCCAAATAACGCCTGTCCCTCCCGGTGACATATACAAAACCGTAGTGCACATAAACCGACACACCCGCTTCAACCAGGCCTGGGAGTACCGGCTGGCGTGCCGGTACTGTCCCGCACATCACCGTTGACACCCTTACGCTTCTTCTTCTTGCGCGCGCGCGGGACGACGGCCGGCTTGGCGCCGTACGCGCCCAGGGCGAGCGCGGAGCCGCACGTCAGGCACTCGTTCTCGGGTGGGGCCTCGCAGAAGATGCTGAGGCAGACGCTGCAGACGAAGCCCGTGTCGAGGGCCTTGCGGTGGCAGAAGCAGGCGGCCCTGAAGTCGACCGATTCGGTGCCGGGCCCGATGAGCATGTCGGACACGGCGCCGCCGCCGACGGGGAAGCCGGTCATGAGGTAGGTGAGCAGGCCGCGCGGCTCCTTGGCGTGGATGAAGTTGCCGCCCGTGATGTAGCTCCCTTGCTGCAGGAAGGACGCGTTGCCGCGGAGGGCGACGACGTCGACGGGCACCGAGGCGTGCGAGGCGGCGAAGACGGCGTTCATGGTCGGTATGTACTGGGACGCGCTCGAGTCCGAGACTGACACGACCAGGATGCGGGCCCGCACCGCCGCCGCCGCGCCGACGTTGCCGGCGCCCGCAGGGATCGCGGTGGACCCGGGCTGGCCGCCCGCGCC